CATGACAGTGCCAAAGCTAAAATAAACTGATGCCGAGCCCATACCGATCCTCGTGCACGCCGGATACCGTAGGACGCGCCCACTCCACAACAATACCAAACCTCTCCGAACCATGTACCCGTACCGAGCCAAATACCATACTGTTGATCCAAGGTAGCACTCAAACATGTCAACTGCGGTAATGTTAGTAATCAAGCAACCCAGGGAAAGCCACGCAGGGAAAGCCACGTCAGAATCCGGGGAAAATGATCAATCCGGGGTCAGAGTTGATGGCGGGTAATCGAGGCGAAATTTGGCCAATCTCCCAATCGTCACGGGTTCCCGTCCCTTTCATCGTTTTTAATCATTCTTTCTTTTCCTTAATTCTATTGTCAGAAATAGTAAATTAACCGTAAATTTTCCAAAATTAAATTCCGAGAAAGTTTAAATAAATGACCAAATTCCTTTTGTTTCTCTTCTCTTTTACCATTTTTAATATTTTTCTATGTTTGTAATTTCATTGCCGGGAACATAAAATAACAAGGGTATACCTGCTAGAATTAAATGCCGTAGAAAATAAAGCAATTAAGGGATATGATGTTTTTCTCTTCTCCCCTAATGGTCTTAATCCCTTTTCCCCATCTTTAATTATGGTACTATAATAGACAAAAATTCGAGGCCTCATTTCGGCCCCGCTCGTATGCTGCAAAAACGTCGAGGCGAGGTCTGTTCCCGCGATGACTCTTCGCGGCAGGCCAATCCGGGTCTAACCCTCTGAACGGCCGAAAACGTCAGTCCCTAGATGTGCCGAGTGCGGCCACCCATCTCACGATCTGTGAGGGTTACCCGTAAGGTTCAGAGCGCTCAAAATCAGGGGTGCTCAAAGTTCCCCTAATGTTTGCTGCCTGGTCAAACCAGAGTACAGTCAAAACACAGACTTGTCTTTGAGGCTAAGTCCCAAAGCCGCAGATTTCAGGCGGCGCACTGCTTGTGGCCGCCTGACAGTTAGCCCGGACCACTTCTCGACGCCCCCGTCGAACCCTATCCACTCACGTCAAACGAAGCGGACGAGCTTCAGGGTGATTGCCCGTAAAGGATGCCCACATCGGCGTTTAATTGTCTTATGTTTCTGTTTGTTATAACTTATGGGGCTAATTGGATGTTCCTTGACTTTCCTTTTTCTTCGGGATTTTGGCCTCGGTAGGATCCCCCTTTTCTTCTGACGTTGGCCCGAGAAAGGTGCCGACCCGCCAGTTTGTCTAATGTGAACTCTCTCTCTGGCCCTCTTAACCACGAATAACCATTTCTTCTCTCTTCCTAATGCTAACCCTTTGACCTTTCTTCTCTCCATTCTCTTCCTCTTCTTGGAACCTTCCCCTGCCTCTAATCGTCTCGTGGGGGCTCCATCCTCCATTTTGGCCTTCCCTCTCCCTTTCGGGCCTATCAGCGATAAGGTGGGTGTTGGCCTGGGTCTAAACAACTTTAACCTAGCACCCGCCACTGGGTCCTTCCACTTGGATCCGTCTAATTCTGCTATCATATAGGCACCCCAGTCGAGCGCCTCAACCACACTGTAAGGTCTCATCCCTCTGTTGGCGAGCTTTCTGGTCCAGGTCCTCTCCAGTGCCGCGTCGTAGAGAAGGACCATATCTCCTACGCTCACCCTCTCTTTCCTGATCCGCACGCTCTTATCCCATCTCTCCTTTCCTTTGTCCCTCTCCACTCTCAGACGATCTGCCACTGTCATAAGGTTGTCTTCCAAACCGTAGGCTATCTGTCTTGTCCGGGCAGCTATGAGTTCCTCTCTGGACATCTTCTCCGCCCAGTCGACGGTTGTCCAGCTGTCGACGTGAAACTCTATGGGGAGCGGACAATGCCGCCCAAACCACAAGGTGTATGGTGGGTATCCAGTGCTAGCCCGGACCGTGACGTTGTCCGCCCATATTGCATATCGAAAATACCGTGGTCAGTCATTGTCCTTACCTTTGCACTTGGATAGTGACGCTATCAGAGTCTGGTGTCCCCTCTCTACTGGAGAGTTCGACTGCGGGTGGTAGGCGGTGGCTATCGAAACTCTCGCCCCGGCTCCCCTGAACACACTCTGAATCTCGTCGGCTAGAAATTCCGCCCCTCTATCCATCACTATCTTGCTGACACAACCATACCTAGATAAGTACTTTAGGACGAAGTTCTTCACTTCCCTTGCCGTCTTACTTCTGATAGGTCTACCGTCCAGGAACCCAGTGAAGTCGTCTCGTATGTTCACAACGTAGTTCATATTGCCTACTCCTTTCGGCATCTTCACGAGATCGATATGTACCTTCTCTCCTGGCCTGGTCGGATAGGATGGATGAAGTGGCTCTTTGTATTTCACAAGAGCTCTCTTCTGGCAATCCTCGCAGGTTATACAGTATCTCTCGACGTCCTTATACTGTCCTTCCCACCAGTACAGCCTGCGTACCTTTTCGTAGGTCCCTTTGACTCCTCTATGTCCTCCGACTACCCCGTCGTGAAGTTCCACAACTATCGTCTGTGTCTCCTCAGGATCACAGACTACTCATAACGACATCCCCGACCCGACTAGTCTACGGAATAGATAGCCTGCTCTAAGGCAGTACTGGGTCGCTTGCCTCCGGATATCTGAATCTTGACTCTCCTCTCCCGACAAATGTAGCCCGATCGTTCGGTATTTGCCCTCGTAAAGGTTAACCAGAAATTGATTGGCGCGTCTCGGCTCCGCCATTGCCAGGGCTCCAGCTACTATTGGCCGCTTGGCCTCAAGAGGGATCCTAGAAAGCCCATTCGCCACGACATTTTTAGTACCCGATATTCTCTCAACCGTGTAATCATAGAGTCGAATCCGTATTAACCATCGTGCGATGGCCGGGTCCGTCAGGCTAAAGTCCTTCTGAAGGACAGAGGCAACCGCTGTAGGATCTACTCTCAAGATGAACCGTCGCCCATAGATGTAGTGTCTGAACGTGTCTAGACACCGAAGAACAGCTAACACTTCCTTCTTGAATTGACTGTAGTTACGCTCAACGGTATTAAGTGTCCTACTCTCAAATCTTAACGATCTTTCCTTCCCTTCAGTGTCCTTTTGAGATAGCAGCCCACCAACTGAACAAGGTCCAGCATCCGTGGATACTATGAATGGTCTCCCGACCTCATCATCAAAGAAAGGCACGCCCAGTACGCGCCCTCCCTCCTTAAATTCATCTTTAAGCTCTTGCATTGCAAGTTTCTGGGAAGAATCCAAGTAGAATTTCTCAGTCTTCCGAAGGAGCACCCTCAATGACTCAGCCTTCTCCGCATACCTGCGTATGAAAATCCGCCAGTAACCGACCACTCCCAGAAATTGACGGACCTCGGTAGCGCTATGCAATGGCGACGACCAATTTAGGAGTTTGTCTAGCTTTGCAGGATCCGCTCGGCGTCCTCTCGAGTCGCAGATAAAGCCTAAGATCTTAATAGTCGAGACGGCCCACCGACTCTTTGTTCCACTGACCGTCAAATTTGCATCGTTTAACTGCTCAAGTACCTCGTAAATATCGGTTAGGTGCTGCTCGACGAATCTCCTAACTCCTGGTACAACTTCTGTCTCATCTTTCCCTACGGGTCCTTTTATAGAGAAGTCATCAAAAAAAACTTCAACCTTGTCAGGAATAAAGTCCTTGAGGACGGCTACCATTGGTCTCTGGAAAACGGCTACCCCATTAGTCCAACCAATAGGGACAACCATCATCTGTATCAGTCCCAATGGCGTGTGCATAGCCGTGATGTGCCTGTCCCTGGGATCAAGCGGTACCTCATCATAGCCTGAGAACAGATCACAGACTGAATAAATCGACCTGCGCGCAGAGCCTTCAGCCAACAAGTCGGCGTGAGGCACGGAGCCTACGTCTCGAATCGTCACCGCGTTAACCTTCTGAAGGTCCTGGATCCACCTGATCTTGCCATTCGGCTTTCGTAGGAAGAACCATCGATTAGCATAAGCGTTGTCAGATGGCTCTGCAACATGAGAAACCATATTTTCTTTCAGGAAAGCGATAACCTCTTCCTTCTCCTTCTGTGCGTATTTCCATCCTGCGTCATTCCATGGAACATGTGGAATCGTATAAATCCTTGCTCGCTTAGCGTAACGAGGGTCAACCCTACCGCGCTCCGCGTTGCTGAAAGCTATAGCCTTATCGCATGTCTTTAGGATTTCTATCACACGTTCCCGCTCCTGTGGGGTCAGGTTTCCATCTCCAATGTCCATCCCTGCTATCCTCTTTTCCGTTAGGCGTTGCGGCTCCTTTTTCTTTCTTTCTTTAATTCCCTTTGCGATCTCTTCTTCTGATATCCCTTCCAGTGCAGATCGCTCGCGGCCCATCGCCGCTGGCTTAACTTTCTGAGCTACTCGCTTGTGTCGCTTGGGTAGCTCCCCATAGGGGGCCGTGCCCTTAAAAAAGACACGGATACCACGCTCCCAAATTCCTCATCTGCCTCCTTTGGATACAAGTTGCCATCCATTATCAGCCAACTCCCCAAATCCTCCACTTCCACAATCCTGCCTTCTTCTTCTGTGAGTAGAGGTCCATACTTTTTCTCGCGAAATCGCACCGCGCGATCGGAGTTAGGTAATGTTTTAATCTGATCACTGGGTCCTGCACCCACAGCGAGGGCTGCTCTGTTCCTCGGGTCTCGAGGCTCCACTGTCTCAATCATAATCCGCGCCCCATCTAGCTCCTTGATGAACAATGTCTGACTACCGTCTGGTCGCTCTATCGTTACCGCATGCACATGGCTCAACCACGTCCGTCCCAAGAGCAAGTCAGAGTTGCAGTTCTTGACTGCAAAGACTGACAGAGTCACTCGTACCCCTTGGACTTCTATGGCTGCCTTGTGACAAACTCCTGTGATCTGTTGCTTTCTCCCGTCAGCAGTCTCTATCTTAATCAAGTATGACCTATCGAGAACCAATCCAACTTGCTCTGCCAGGTCCTCGTCTATAATGACAGTCTCACTGCCGTTATCGATCACAGCATCTAGTACCGCTCCGTCGTTTAGGATCGCCTCCGCGGTCCCACTACCAAGTATGTAAAACTTGTCTGGAGGCACACCTTCCATCCCATCAAGAAGAACTGTCACCATGCGATCTGCTCTAGCTGTCACCTCCGATACTGCTACAGTAGTAGGAGCATCCGCCTTAGGGGCTACCTGAACCTCCTCTGATAGAGGTATGTGAGTCCTCCGCGTGATCATCTGTAACTCGTCGCGAGCCGACTTGGATGCCGCTAGATATTCCAGAATTGAGCACTGCATGGGCTGCCGAAGGCCCCGTCTCAGTGGCTCGACCGTGTCAATCTCATCCAGTGAACTCTTCATCAAGAACTTCATCACTCCCCGCTTTCGCGGTGAAAGAATAACCTCCTCTCCATCGATTCGTTGTCCGTCCTTCTCTGCCATCATGTAATCCGTGTAAGTCTTCTTCGATGTAGACCCTCTCGCCGACTTGGTAGCTGCCACCCTTATGGGAGTGGTTGCCATATCTCCTTCGAAAGTTATCTTGATGCTCTGCCTCCTAACCGGCTCCTTCCCTTTACTCGGTTTTACTCTCCTCGCTTCAACATTCTCCTTCATCGAAGGGAACATCGATACGTCTCTCAGATAATCTGTCAACTTGACGTACTTGCGGTCATCGAGCACGACAAGTCCCTCATCTATTGCCCGTTTGAGATCCGGGCAGTCTCTCTTGATATGATAATCTCCTCTACAGTAGACGCAAGAGTTCTTGGGAGTGGGTGGCCTGTCGTCTACGCTCCTGGAGGTCGAACCCCTCGCTGCTCTGGGTCAGGGACTTTGTATGCGGATCGGATGACGTCCCATATCCCCCTCTCTCATTCTGGCCGCGCGAATCATTGCGGCGGTCTCCTCCGGATTCTTCCTTGCTCATATCGTCCCCGTGAGTCATTCCGGTGGTTTCCATGGTCGTATCGCCTGCGCGACTCATCGCGTCGATCTCCTCGGTCGTACCACCCCCGCGAATCGTCACGTTGCGCCCTCGCGAATCCCCCGCGGTCATACCGTCCACGCGAGTCATCTCGTCGGTCTCCGTCTCGATCTCCTCTCTCATACCTGCCACCCCTGTATCCATCTCGATCCGACCTCTCATATCTGTCGTTCCTATATCCTTCTCGGTCCGATCTCTCATATCTGCCGTCCCTGTATCCGTCTCACCGGCCCTCCGCCTCTACCCCCATCAGCCTCATAGTCAGGGCTACGTGAGTAATCATCCAGTCTCCTAGCTCGCCCATACCTCTCGCGAGCCCTGCGGTCCCTGTCTATATCATCATCCCTACGTCGCCATGGCTCATCGTCTCTCTCCCTTTCCCTCGCATGATAATCTGTCAGCGTTCGAGGATTTCTATCCTCGACACTCCTCCAGGAATCGGTGTTCCTCCGGTCCCAGCGAAGTGAATAGGGCCTTCCGGGTTTGTCCCGGTAAGTCGCAGCTCCTGTGGTGGTCACAATCTCTGTAACTTGTCTTGTCAATCCCTTTACCATGTCCCTTATCTCCTTCACTTCCTCAGCCACGACTTCATTCTTTTCCGACCAGGGGTAGTCCTTGAAATGAGGACACCTATCAGTGACATACTCCTTATAGAGAGAGAAGTCACGTCTCCTCAGTCCCCTCCATACCAAGTCCTTGTAGTCGTCTGCCTCCGCCTTTATTGCGAGCTTTAGGACTTCAGGGAAGTCAAGCTTGTCGCGGGGGAGATCTCTAAGTATACTCTTTTGTCTGCCTTTGGACAAGTGTCCAATGAAGATAGTACAACGCTCGACCTCTAAGATCTTCCCCTTCTTCATCAGCACGTCGGAGATCTTCTGGAATCGCATCCCAAATGTCCGTAGTGAGAAAGTGCATTAAAGAACCACACTTGAACCAGGTAAAGGAGTTGGGGAACAAGATAAGGGAGATCGGGTTGTGCCAGGACGAAGGCAAGTTGCGTAGGGTTGAGCTCGTGACGAAAGGGTTAGAGAGTTTGTTCAGGGAGGATAGAGAGATTATCCAGGCGTGGAGATCAGACTTTCTGGAGAGGGTAAAGGCTAGGAACCTATCGCACGAAGGAGCTAGGGAGAAGTCTGCAGAGGATGTAGCAACGGAGGGCAAGGTGACACAGAGAGATAGCAACAGGACATGAGCGGGACTGCCCTACACACGACGGACAGGTACTCGTTGCATGTGGTAGGGAGACTGGACGGACAATTGGTGTAAGTGATCGCAGAGCTCCAGCTCCATACCAGGTTGTGTATACTTGAGGAGGCAAAGTATGTTCGCCGTGCATTGCGTGAGGCTAGGGGAACAGGACTTTGGATTGGAGTGGAAGGAGGACGAAGGATAAAATACGTACTTCGAGTAACACCTTTCGAAGGGCGGTCTCAGATAAGGGCATGGTACGAGACGGCCAGAGAGGCTGAGAGGTTGAAGATAAGTGAGGCCAAGAGAGCTGGGGAGCTAGGGATGGTTATAATAGATGGAGCGATACTGAGGGTGCTAGCTGCTCACGACCGATACTGGAGGGAATCGATAAAGACTTTAGAGGCTATAGGGGATAGTGGAGATGAAGAAGATTTTGAGATGTTCTATGACATATTGGAGTTGTCGGCGATGAGATTACGAGCAACTATAGCACTGACTTCCCTGAGATACTAGACAGATGACCTTATAGTTGTCTGGGAGTTAGAGGAGGAGATGGATAGATGGCAGTAGGAGGAGAGTTTCCTCCTTTTACGGGCTACCTGATTCAGGACGGACTAGATGATCTAGCAAGGAGGACGGAGATAGACGCTCGAGGATTCTTGTGGGGTGCAAGTCGAGAGACATTGGTTAGGCTTAGGACTGCGATCTGCAGCAGGAGTAGAGATCTTGTCACGGGTGTAGTGCAGATCAGGAGAGGCGCGGCTCTGTTGGCAGAGCCCGAGGGAGAAGTTTACGTAGACACCGAGATTCTTGGGATAGAAGGAGAGCACGAGGTCCACTACGGGAACGAAGTACTGGTGGCGATAATCGGAGCAGTCGAGAGCTAGGACTGGAGACGAGCGCGAACCGTGAACAAGTAAACAGGTTTTGGCTGCGAGTTCTGTCACAGGTCCGGGCTGTTGCAACTGTCATAGGTCCGGGCTGTAACGCCTGGCGAGCCCAACTACAGCTTCTGGTAGCCTATGGAACTAGACACGATGGGGCCACAACCGACCACGACCGAAACAAGAGAGGAGTACAGGACATCGCACGACTGAGCACTGAGGGATCTAAAGGAACGAATTAGGCAGGGGGCACCGCTGAGATGGACCGACCAAACCAATGACGGAGAGCCCGATGTAATGGGCGAGCCGGTCGTGACAGAGCCGCGGGAGGCTCTGAAGACTGGAACCTCGAGCGCTCGACGAGAAGCGACAACACGACGTTCCCCCGAGTATGAACGGAGGAAAACTTGGGCGGATAGGCACGGGCACGACTGGAGAGAGAGTTCACGAGATTCCTATTGGAGGGACAGAGACAGGGATAGAGCACCGCCCTGGCGTGTCTTCGACCCCCAGATGGGGGAGTCTCATCCGCTCCCTTACGAGAGCAAGGATCGCTACATTATTACGCACAAGGCCTCAGAGCCTCCCACTTTCAGGGGCTACGGTATCACAAAATATCTGGAAAAGTGGGAGCTTCATGGTAGCCGGAGTCAGTGGTCGGAGGAAGAGATTATAGAGAACTTCCTATTTAATGTGGATCCCAGTCTCGGCAAGGAAGTTAAGGAAGCCCGACCAAAGGATGGGAAATGGACTACGTATAAGAAGAACCTTCCGACCGCCTCATTCTCCTCTTCCATACTCTATCCACATCTCTTTCCAGTTCATCCTCATACTCTCTCTCTAGCCTCCGCTACCGTCTCATCGTGGTAGTGCTCCACGCGCATATAACCATGAGACCATATTATCACGTCATAGGAAATCGAGGTCTGGAAGGTCACCTGTGCCCGTACATCAGCTCTATGCTCGCGGATCAGCTCCCTGACTCGCAGTTGGCACTCCCTCTCCGTCAAGTCCTCATCTATGTACGCCCAGAGAAGCACCGTCACAGTGTATCCTGCGCTTACCAGTTGCTTATCTAAGCGCATCAGAGTTGCCGTTCTCCCCGACATTCCCTAAGCTGCGACCTCGAAGAGAAATCTCACGTCCTCTAGCCCCACATAATCTATCTTCGCTCGTCTCCTGCATTACCAAATCAGATCGACTGGCCTCAAACAGTCCACCCAGCAAGTAGCGTCTATGATGTCGTCACGCGTCTCTCTGCTGCGTGGCCCCCACCGTACACAAATGACGTAGTATGCTTCCCTGAAACGGGAAGCCAAACCCTCCCAAAGCGCGTAAAGCGTGTGGTCCACTGCCACGCTCAGACGGTCTAAGCTCCCGTAGGTCTGCCCTATCCCGAACGCAGGAAGTCCAAATCGCCAACCCTCTTTCGGGTAGAAGGTCGGTTGCGGAGGTCCGTATACCAAGCGGCTCTAGTACGACCTCCCTCCAGAGAGTCTCGCCAGTTGCTGATTAACGATCACCCTGGCCAGCAACTCGTTTCTCCACCAAGCCCTGCTAGCCCCTGCCAGTGTCAGCCCTACGTCTAAATCATGAGCTCTGTCCGCCATCAGATGTCCCACCCCTTCTAGGTCATGAATCCTTTCGGGTCGTCTATCTTTCAGTATCACCGTCCAAAGGAAAAGTCCCTCTGCCAGCCGCGTTCCAAGGTGATGTATCGGAACACAGTAAGTCTCCTCTAACCTCACAGGAAGAGGAATATCGTATCCAACAGCCGTCTCTCTGGGTCTTACAAGTTTCTTTATGCTATAGGATTGGGACTTTTGCGAGAGAACATAAGCTAGCCAAGCCGCCGAGTCACTCCTCATCTCCACTTCGCCAATCGATCTGTGTCACCCTACTCCCTTCGACGCACACTATCTCACGATGTTGCCGACTCCTCAGACAACTCTCCCACTCAGGTCTTGTATGGTCGAGTAGGTGCTGTGCACTCTCCCGTTAGCTCCATGGAAGTAGATAGTAAACTCGACGCATCTCTGGCCTCTTTGTATCTCCAGGGCATGCTCCGTCATGAGTCTGATCTGTCGCTCAACATTGTCCAACACCTCATCTTCCCAGCCGCCCGTCCTATCTCGTCGTAGGGAAAGAGTCACTCTCAGTGTATCCTTGTCTGCCATCCCTTCCTGCTCTTACTGCTACTCTCGCCTTGCCTAAAGTTTTTTCCCCGAGCCTACTAACCTATCTCCTACTCCCTTCTCGAAGCTACGCCCGGATATGCCCTGCCACTAATCGTCTCGCGCATTTGGCATATCCTCATCTCCATCCTCATCTACCCTCTACCCCCATGGGGTATCCTCCTGTCCCTCGGCCTGAAGGAGATGTCCCCAGCCGTCCTCCTGCGGTCCGTCTATATCAGCGCCAATCTCGCCCTGCCCTACGTCAGGCAGGTCTCTCCACAATCTCTCGTCCTGTCCCCAAGGCTCTGCGTCGCTGAGGCGTTCCCAGTCTTGATCGTCTGCGTCCCAGTTGAGATCCTCTCTATCTGGATATATCCCCTGGTAATGCTCCTCCAACTCCCAGATAAAGATCAGGGAAGCAGGCCTATCATCGGGAGTCTCGCTAAAGAGTCGTCCGACCCCCTCCAAACTATCCACTGGTCTCTAGACCTCCCTATCTAGTGCCAGCCAGAACTCCAAGGGATGGCCCGGGAAGGAGGAGTGGGGGTCTGCTGTAGGCGCTAGAGCACGTAAGAACTCTATGAGCTGTATCCCCCTCTCTCAAGTAAGAGGCCCCCCTACGAACTGTGCGTAGGCAATCCAGTCCCGGTCCGTCTGCCCTCTAACTAGTCCGTCGAGCTCTAGAGCCGCGAAATATCTCTCCCCGATGCGCCTCAAGCCCCAAAGCTGCTGCACTACAAAGACCGGGAACCTGGCGCGTAGTCGGACTGTCGGGAAAGCAAACCCTCCTATCCGAAACGTAATCCTCGTCTCCCTGACAGATCCATACAAATCTTCAACCCCCTCTCGCGCACTCTCTACCACGCCTTCCAGGATCTCTCTAACCTCACTCTCATACCGCCAGAACCCATGCACCAAGCTCTGAATATAGACCACGTCGCTCACCTCACGTGACTCACGTGAGTAAT